AAGCAAGCGGACCATATTGGCAAAATTTGTGGGCATTATGACTTATCGTGCGCTGAAATCGAAGTATAATTGGAAATCAAGAGGTGATGGGATTTTGCAAAATATATCCACTAAGGAAAATTGCGGACGTCCGACATGACTGTACAAAGTCTGAAGTTTTTTCCGAAGCGTCTGACAGACTTCCGTCAGAATTCTGTTCGTTTGTATGAAACTAATTCTTTTAATATTGAAGATTTTTATACCCTTAGCCATATGGTAGAGGGTTTATACATTTTGATACGGCCAAAACTTGCCTCATCGAAGTAACGGGTTTAGACTCTAAAATGTGATGTAAGGATCCGATTGTCTTCAAATTAAACATATCACAATAATTTTAGTAACCCAAGGTCTGATGTAAAGATGGAATATATCGGCCCATTCTTTCTGGTACCTCCCTCACCAAAATATCAACATTTTCAAAAAAAAAATAATTTACCGCAGAGAAAGAGAAACGATTATCCGATTTTGCTCCAACTTTGCAAATCCTATTATATGCGTCAGTGTCAACATTTTAAATAATTACAACTCTCATAAAATTTGATGTAAGAGTCCGATTGTCTTCAAATTTCACATATCAGAATACTTATATTAACCCAAAGTCTGGTGTTAAGATGGAATATATCGTCCCCACGTTCTTGTACCTCCCCCACAAAATATCAACATTTTCAAAGAAAATAAATTACTACACAGAAAGAGAAAGGATTTGGCTCCATCTTTGCAAAGCGTAATATTTGCATCAGTGCTAGGTCAGGTGAGAAAATAGACAATATCGGTCCACTCCATCACATACCTCCCCCACAAAGGGTCAAAGTTTTGAATAATTATAACTCTTATAAAATGTGATGTAAGAGTCCGATTGTGTTCAAATTACACACATCACAATAATTCTGTTAACACAAGACCTGGCATGAAGATGGGATATATCGGTCCACTCCTTCCGGTACCTCCCCCATAAAGGGTCAACATTTTGAATATTCATGAAGCTCATAAAACGCGAAATTAACATCCGATTCCATTCAGACTTGGCACATCTCAATATTTACAGTAGCACAAAATCTGCTATAAAGATCATAGAGATCGGACCCTCCTTCTGGTACCTCTCCCACAAAGGGTCAAAATTTTGAATATTCATGAACCTCATAAAACACAAAAATTACGTTCGATTCCATTCAGACTTGGCACATCTCAATATTTACATCGACCCAAGATCTGCTATAAAGATGCCACAGATCGGACCATTCCTTCTGTTACTTCCCCCACAAAGGGTCAACATTTTGAATAACAAAAACGAATATAAATTCTGAAACAAACATCCGGTTCTCTTCATATTTCACACATCCTGTTATTTCTACTAAAACAATATCTGCTGTGAAGTCCATCTTCATATATCGTTCCACACGCTGCCCGAATGTTGCTCATGTTTTGGCCCATTCCCGGCGAAACGCTTGCTTAATCTGATCGACCCTTTGGTATTTTTTAGTCCCAACCTTGCTTTCCAAAATACTCCAAACGCAATAGTCCAACGGATAGGAATCCGGAGATTTTGGTGGTCATTGTGCACTGGAAATGGAGCGAGGAACATCATTTTGTAACCATTCTTGGGTGGCGCATGCTGAGTGCGATGATGCAGGGTCCTGTTGGAATGTCCAAGGTCTGCGGTCAAAATGTTTGCTTGCCCAAGGCTTTAATACACCCTCCAGAATATTTCCGCTGTGATGGTCGTCATTTATTCTGATGCCACAGTCGATCAATACGAGCGGAGAGCGACCATCGGCTGTTATGACGGCCCACCCTATCACCATGGCCGGCGCTTGAGTTCCTGTGGCCAACCGAAGGTGCACATTTTCAGCTGACCTCTTTGACAAGTAAACACGATCATTTTGTTTGTTTACAAACAGCTGGACAAAGAGTGTTTTCTCATCGGAGAAAAGCAAATTCATCAGTTCACCACTTTCGGTCAACCGAAGCAACTCTTTAGCTCTTTTGAGTCTATTTTCTTCCCGTTGCGGTGTAAGTTCTTGAATTTTTTGGAATTTCAATGGCTTTACCGAGCCCATTTTTATATTTGCCGAATGGAATATTGCGATATGTTCAGCTCACGAGCCATTTTTCGGCCACTGCGAAGCGGGTTTCGATCAAGTCGCTTCTTTACTTTCCGAACCATTTCTGCTGATGTTGCTATTTTCTTTCGTCCACTTCCTTGACGTCGGGCTACTCTACCAGTATCACGGTAACGAGCGATGGTACGAGATACAAAACATTTATTCACATTTAAATGCTGGAGTGCTCTAACGTTAGCCACTTGTGGTTTTGAATTCCATCACGAATAACTTTTTTCTGGAAAATTCTCACCAAAATGCTTTTGTACGCTTGTAAACAATATAATGAGCTGTCACTGGAATAATTTTAACAGCTGTCGGACGAGTGGCTTAGAAATGACAGCAGTCTGAAGTTGGTTGCAGTTTTTTCATCTCACCCTGTACTTTCGACTTCGAACAATCCCGTTTAAATGGAGTTTTTACCCATTTTTTAAAAAAGGACCAAAAGGACCACTTTGTTGTCTTGTTTGAGGGTTAAAATTTTGGTCCAGAATAGTTCTCGTATTTTTATCTGCAATATTGCCGAAGACGCTACATACCTAAAATGAATAGGAATCGAATAATTAGACGAAAATTTCCAAAATATGTGTGAAAGAGGGGGACCTAGCCCCTCACTATTCAGGCTGTTTTGCGATGCAAACGCCGATACCCGTGTCTTCTTTTTTAGCTCTGCATATACTTACAATCTGCTGAATTTTTCCCGTATTTTTTTTTTTTTTGCTCAGTGTTACCATTTGAAGACTTTTATATTTTTACTCTTTCCGAAAGACATTTTGATTGAAATCTATGTGCAGATTCTAGATAACATCATCATCCTTGACCCTACATTTCGCTGGTCCACAAATTTTACTCATTTGTATTCAATATAAAACAATTGATATATAATAAAATAAATTCTCCACCGCATAATGTAGTGTACAGCAAACACAGAACCGACAACCCCAACATCATCTACACTAGACATTACAATCAATAAATTAAATTTATATAGTTGCAGGATGGCGGGTGGAGGAAAAGAGAACAAAACTTTTAATTCAATTTCAATTCAAACCGTCTCTTAATAATTCAAATACTTTATGTGCCAGTGTCGTCGTCGTCTGTTCATATCTTTGGAACGGCGGAACCCCAATGTTAGCTGCTGGGTAGCAGCCGTGTTGATTTACTTACCTGTCGTCTGGCTTGACGCCACACACACGTACACCTGAACACACACACATATCCACATATGCTGCCATATGTCAATTTTCTGGGTGTAGGAAGGAGAGGAGGAGGGGGAGTGATTTTAATGTAAATATAAATTTTGTTATGGCGTTTATTTTCATTTCAATTTCATTTCACAGTGACAGTGTGGCAGGTAGGTGGATTGTAGTGGGGGAAATGGTGGTGTAACATATAAGGATAATATTTAAAAATAGGTTTGAGTTCTCCGCCTCCCATCTAAGTGTATGGTGTTTACTTAACAAATTGTTTTAAAAATAATATTAGTTTGCATTTTTGTTATTGTTTTCTTACTGCTCTTGGGAGTATTTGATATTGGAGGAAAATAATGTTATTTAGAGAGGGATTATAATGACTAATATAAGACACTTTTGTGAAAATAAACCCCGATTTAAATACTCTATAATTTCTGGAAACTTAGTCTATAAAAGGATTTGGCGGTATATGGTATATAATATCAGGATATCCTTTTTAATTCTTTTTTTTTTAAATTTTCAATATAATTGTATTTGTAGTACCAAAATCTTGAATGAAGCCACTAGAGAAAGACTTTCAAGGAAAGCTTATCTTAAAAATCATTATACCCTCCACCATTCTATGGAGGGTATATTAGCTTTGTCATTCCGTTTGTAACTCTTCGCGATATTCATGATAGACCCTACAAAGTATATATATTCTGGATCAGCGTAAAATTCTAGGACGATTTAACGATATCCGTTTTGCGAATGTGTATATTTTGCCAGTAAATGGACCATGCCGGTCCACGTTTTCGTATAGTCCCCATATAACGGTTCCTACCCGTATTTCAATATATTGATGATTTCGGTGACATTATTCACGCAAATTGTTTAAAATTTGGTATTCGAAGTTTGTAATGGATACTACAGCGTATGCCTAAAAATTTCGTATGCAAGTTCACGTCTTCGTATAGCTCTCATGTAACGGTACCTCCCTATATTCGGTATTTTGATAATTTTAGCAACATTATTCACCCCAATTGTTAAAAATTTCGTAGTTGAAGTTCGTAATGGGTACTAAACCCAAAAAATAGCGTTTGTAAGTCCAGGTCTTCGTATAGGTCCAACATATCAGTACCGCCCGATATTCGGTATTTTAATGATTTTAGCGACTTAATTCACCCGAATCATTTTTATTTTAGTATTCGAAGATTGTAATGGGTACTACAGCCTATGCCTAAAAATTTTGTATGCAGGTCCACATCTTCGTATAGCCCCCATATGACGATACCTCCCAATATTCGGTATTTTGATGATTTAAGCTACATTATTCGCCGGAATTGTATCAAATTTCATATTTGAAGATCTAAATGGGTACTACAGCCTATGAAAAAAAAATTATGAAGCTACACGTCTTCGTGTATAAAGATATAACAATATTTTTCGCAATTTTTCAAGTTCCCTCCAAATGGTGGAGGGTATTAAAAGTTCGACCCGGTTTAACATGATCTGAAAAAATGTCACAGGGCATTTTTGAAGGACTTCTACCATTAGTTCTGTGAAATTGAACTTAAAGCTAAATGTTATTTTGATTACATACATTCGTTTATTCTGATGACAAAAATGTCCCCAGTTACCTGCCTTTTTTCCAATTTTTTTATTAAAATGTTTCTTTTTTCCTTTGCAGCTCGAATGGAAAAGGAGGGTGATATATAGACTTAAACGGTAAGTAAATTATTTTTTAACAAATTTTTTAGGCCTACGAAATAAAAAATAATTCCATGTTTGTCCTTTGAAAAACTTTCTTAAAATTGGACGTTTCTAACCTAGAAAGAAAGTTCTTAAAAACTAAATTCCGTATATAAAAAATATTCTTAAGAATCCTATTCGGTGTTTTAAAAATACTCTTGAAAAGCAACGTTTGGTCCTTGCAAAATTATCCTTAAAAAACAGCTTATGTCCCCGAAGGATATTCTTATAACTCCAGATTTTGTCCTCGAAAAAATACTCTTAATCAAGGTTGGTCCATTTAACATTACAACGAAAAATCCACGTTTGATACTTTAAGAAAAATTCTGAAAAATCCATGTTTTGTCCTTTAGATAATATATTGAAAAATCTATGTTTGGTCCTTTAAATAATATTTTGAAAAATCACGTTTATATATTCTGAAAATCCACTTTTAATCCTTGGAAGAAAATTCTTAAAAATCTACGTTTGGTCCTAGACAAAAATTTCCCATAAATCCATATTTGGTGCTTGAAAATCCATGTTTGTCGCTCCGATAGTCCTTAAACAATTATTGTTGATTTTAGTCGAAAAAATCTTACAATCCTTGAGAAATATTCACAAACAATCCTTGTTTGAAATACTTATAGCCCTTGACGAAAATTCTGAATAAATCCGAGTTTGTAGCTTTGATAGTCCTTGTTGAATATATAATTTAGAATCCACGTTTGAAGCTCTGCTAGTTCTTGAAAGTATTCCTTAAAAATCTAAGTTTATAGATCTAATGGACTTTGAAAAAATATTCAGAAAGTCTGTAGTCCCAAAGGTCCTTCGTAATATTAAAAAAATCCACATTTGCAGCTTTTATAGTTCTTGAAAATATCTTTAAAATCTCTATGTTTGAGCCTATGATGGCTCGGAAATTATTCTTAAAAAGTTTACGTTTCTAGGAAACTGTAATAAATATTTAAAAAAAAAAAACTTAGTTTCAGGCTCTGCAGGACTTGGAAATGATCCTAAAAAAACTTAGTTTCTAGCTCTGCAGGTCTTGGAAATGATCCTTGTTTGTATCTCTTAAAATAAACATTCTTGAAAGTATTCCTCAAAATCCAAATTTATAGATCTGATGGCCCTTGAAAAAATATTCAAAAAATCCACGTTTGTAGTACTAGAGGTCCTTCATAATATCTAAAAAATATCAAAGTTTTCTGCTTTTATAGTCCTTGAAAAAAATATACTTAAAAATCCATGCTTGAGCCTCTGATGGTCCTGAAAAAAACATTTTCTAAAAAGTGTACGTTTCTAAGGACCTCTAATGGAAATTTAAAACAAAAACTTAGTTTCTAGCTATGCAGGTCTTGGAAATGATCCTACTTTGTACCTCTCTTAAATCCAAATAATATATTTCAAAAAATCCAGATTTGCACCTCTATTGGTCCTGGACAAATTCTTTTAAGCAATCCACTTTTGGAGGTTTGAAGGTCCACGCTTGTAGCTTTCAAGATCAGTGAAAAATTAGTTTATAATGTCCCCTTTGTTGGTCTGATGGCAATACAAGAGAAATTGTAAAAATTCCACGTTTGTAGCTCCTAAGGTCCTTGGGAAAATATTTTCAAAATCCAAAATTTTTCAAATCTTTTCTTTATTTAAAAAAAAATTTTCCCAATTTTTTCTTCATTTAAAAAATAAAAAAACACCCATAAATAAGGTCCTTGACAAAATTACCTTCAGAAATCATATACTTGAAATTAAAATTAAGATATCCAGATTTGTGGTCCATTGGAAACACTAGCAAGTAAACTTCGTAAATATATCACATAGTCCAAATAAGAAATTGCATTACAACTCTTCGATACTTGAAAGAAATATTCCTCCCGATTTTAAGAAATGGGATTATGCAGCAGATCTTTGGATCATTTGATTAGTCAACAATAATTATTTTGAATTAAAAAAATTGCCCATGAAATGGTATGGAATTTCCCAGAATATTCCAAACATATCTGCCACCTGAGCATGTCCCCCTCCTCCACTACTGCCAGCTGTTGGGCTCGTAAAAAACAAAAGACATAAAGTTATTTGATAGACTTTTTTACGCCAGCAGGCGCAGACAAATCCATTCACAATTTTATTTTCAATCACGTTGCCAGTTTATCGATATGAGAATGTCCTGTGCCCTTATTTGACGGTGGCGGCGGTGGTATATTGGTAGAAATGTTGATACATTACTAGTGAGTGTGTGTGTATTCGCCAGGATATGCGATACTTGGCCTGGCCTGTAAAAAAACAACAAACTAGAACGTAAAAACAAAGAAACGGTTTTACTTACAGCCGACAGACACATAACAAAGTGCCAAAACCGTGTTACTGTCTGCCCGGGAGGAGGATGGGCACTGACGAACCGAAAATTTCACTTTCAATATTCGTTTAGTATTTTCGTGTTTTGTCGTTTCTCCAACATTTTCACAAATGTTTGTCCTTAGCTAACCTCCATTTCACCTACAAAAACAAAGACAAAAACGAGAAAGAATACCAAAAAAAAAAAAAAAAAAGTGAACGAAATTGAAAGCAACAGAACGAAGAAGGAAGAAGCAACTCCCCTTTAAACGCCTTTTAGCTTAGGAATGTTTGGAAGACCAAATATGTAATGCCGTGAGGTAAGGTAAGGGTGGTGAATAAATATCCACGAAAAAGAAGGAACACATAAAATCAATAAAAGCTCAATATAACTCAAAAGCAAAACGAAAAGAAAAAAATATTGAATAATACCAAATGGAGTAGGAATTTGTTACAAATAAATTGTATCGCCCACCCAACCCCCTCTACTTCAACTCCCAAGTTTTGGTATTTCCTTTTTGGTAAATCAGTATTATGGGTTTATGTAAGACAATTTCAAATTTGTTTATATCTCCCAGAAGTATCATAACAAGGACTTGTATTTTCCCGATAAAAATAATGGCTACAGTGAGGGGCATAACTTGGAAACTAGATTACTTAAATGAGAATTTATAGTCATTGAAAAATCAAATTTATGAAATGTGGAAGCAAATATTCAAGAGCATATTTTTATTGCTGTTGATATCTTTAATAAGGATCTGTTTGAGGTATGGATGTTCTAAATGAAATACGGTGTAATTATTTAGTCTTCGACAATTTTGGCACACTGGGAGCTAAAAATGCGTTTTTTGAAGAGACTATAAAAATGATTATTATTGTTTTTGGAAAGCATATTATTTAAAGATTCTAGGAGAGTCATCGTCTTCCAGAATTTGTTTCGACGCTTTACCCAAAGGATTTTTGGAGATATAATCGAAATTTTTCACAATATTTTGCAAGGAACAGTTAGCGAGGAAGGGAATATATCGAAATTGTCTCGATTCTAAATTTATTATTATTGTTCTCTATAAAGATAATTCACATAAATTTGATGCCGTCATTGACATTGGATCCTTTCTATTAAATCATTTTTTGGCAATTTTTTATTATCCCCTCTTTGTTGCTGTTGTTTTTTTTTGTTTTACAACACCACTTTGGTCAGGAGCATCAATATCCGCTGTCCAATTTGCGTTTCATGCTCCCCTCCCCCTATGGGATTTATTACCATAATGATGTGTGTGTTTATATCTGCTCTGCCCTGCCAACCAAAAATAATCCTTTTCGGATTGAAGGGATTGTAACCTTTTTTTCTTTCTCTCTCCTCCTCCACATAATGCAACCAAAAATAAGCTTATTTTCATTATTGAGTGGAGCGACGACGTGTTGCTACTTTCGAATACGAGCCAGAGGGCGAAGAGTTTCTCGAATATGTTTGAGTTTATTTATAAAATTGTGGATATCTTTTTATGTTGCTCTCTAAGAATGTTTATTTACCCCATTTAAAATTCGGGAGAAGTGGGTGTGGGAAGGGTTTAGAAAAAAAAAACGAGGCAGAGGCAAGGGATTTGGGAAAAGGCAAAGAATGTGGGAACCTCCATTATTTCGAGGAAAAGTTTCAGTTAGGACACTTATTCCTGAGAAGAGTCATTCAGGATAAATATTTGAACATTCGTGTTGTAAAGACCATTTTTTCGGCGATAATGAGTCAGAATTACTATCTTCATTTTTTTTCAATTATGGGCGAGAATAAATTTTCATGATTTTTCCTTGATATATTGGTTCTGACTGATTGACCTTTTCTCAAATACAATGGTCCTGATCGGCCCTTATCTCAAAGGTAATGGTACTGACTGGGGGTTATCTCAGAGATAAAGGTCCTGAAACACCTTTATCTCAGGGATAATGTCTCAAAGATAGGGCTCATCGGGTCTAATTTCAAAGATAATGCTCCTGCCTAGTCCTTATCTCAGGGATAATCATCCTGACTCACCCTTATCTCTGAGATAATCATACTGACTAGCCCTTAACTTGGAGAAAATAGTTCTAACTGACCCCTATCTCCGAGATAATGATCCTGACTAGTCCTTATCTCCGAGATAATGGTCCTGAATGGTCTTTGTCTGTTATATAATAGTCTTGACTGGTCCGAGGTAATGGTCATGATTGGCCCTCATCTCCGAGATAATGCCCCTGACTGATCCTTATCTCTGAGATAATGCCCCTGACTGGCACTTATCTCCGAGATAATGCCCCTGACTGATCCTTATATCCGAGATAATGCCACTGACTGGCCCTTATCTCCGAGATAATACCAATGACTGGCCCTTATCTCCGAGATAATGCCCCTGACTGGTCCTTATATCCGAGATAATGCCCCTGACTGGCCCTTATCTCCGAGATAATGCCACTGACTGGCCCTTATCTTTGAGATGATGGGGCTGAACGACCCCTATCTTCGAGATAATGGTCGTTAATGGCCCTTATTTCCGGGATAATGGTCCTGACTGGCCCTTTTCTCTGGGACATTTATCCTGGCCGGCCCTTAACTCCGAGATATTGATTCTGACTGACCCCTATTTTCGAGATAATAGTCCTGACTGGCCCTTATCTCCGATGTAATGCTT